CATCCAGAACAAGGGTGCAGGTTCTGCCTCAGAGCCCCGGAAGGCTAGCAGGGCAGCACTGCTTAGGTTGTGGCAGGGTGGGCACCTTCCCGGCAGGCCCACATGGTCATGGCTCCCCACCCCAGGCACCCCCTTCCCTCAAGGGGCCCTGCTGACGGGCCATCAGGTGCCTGGGGAAGGGTCCACCAGCTGAACAGAGGGGCCCCCAGGTTCCTGCCTGCCCCCACGTGGGGCTAGATCAGCCCTTCCCCCTGTGGCCCCTTCTTGCCCAGCTCCCTTTCCCCTTGTCACCTTCTTCCCAGAAGTGACCCTTCAGGGCTTTTCTGTGGTCAGAACCAAGCCCTACCCTCAGCCCACTACCCTGGGCTCTAGCTTTCACTGAGCAGGTGCTGGGACCCCCTCCTTGCTCCACCCCCTTCTCCCACTGGGCCTTGGCGCCTCCCTCCTACCATAACCTGCCTGGGAACCACTGTAGCCACTGTGCCATTCATTTTGCTTCCAACGTGGCACACACAGCCAGCTTCTGCTTCTTGCCCATCATCAGTCCCCCAAACAGCAGGGGGACCCCCAGAGAACAGCACAGCCCTTTGCCCTATCTTGGGGACCCCGGAGCGGGTCGGGGCTGCTGCAGGGCACTCCATTGTCCTCGCCCAGGCCCTGACTCACATTTATCTACAAGCAGGGCCCTGGATGTGATTTCCATGGAGGACACAGACCCCATACCTTAGGCAGGTGACCTTCAAGGTGGGGTGCAGCCCAGGTGTCCCTGTCCTGGCCTCCCTTGCTAGCCCAGTAGTGAGGAACCTTGGGGTCCTGGCACCCTTGAGCTCTCAAGATGGTGAGCCATTGATCCAACCTCCAGCTGTGGCCAGAGAGCGGGAGGGGTCTTCGCCAATGGCCAGTTGAGTTGGCCCAGGACAGAGGTGAGAGGCTGTGACTGGGGTCCACACTGAGCGAAAGGAAATCTGGACCCCAGAGGTTCACCGCATCCCAATGCCGAGACCAAAGCCTCTCAGTCCTCACCGGAACCACCTGGAAAACTCTGCCCAGTGTCCACGCTGTCTGGGGTCTGTGGCACCCTCTGCCATTCCTTCCGCTCCTTGGGCTGATCCGCCAAGGCCGCCATCATGGGCTTCTTCCCTACACCCGCCCCTCAAATGTTCCTGTTCCCCAGGCCTGGCACCCTCGCCTTCCATCTGCTCTCCTGGGCAGGCTCCTGCGCTCTGGGGCTCCGGCTGCGCTCACACACCCTGGGCTTGTCCTCCTGCCCAGACCCCTGCCCAGAGCCCCCGAGCCTGGGACTCAAGCTTCTCCACCTGGCGGACTCAACATGGGCAAACCTGAGCCTATCACCCTCCTCCAGGCCCATCCCCCTCCCCTATTCCCTGCCTCTGAGAATGGCGTCACCAGCCACCCCAGCTCCTGAGCTAGAATTAGGAATCATCCAACGCACAGTCATCCTCGACACCTCCTTCTTACCCCACGTGGATTGGTCATCAACTCCTATGGATTTCATCTTCAGAAAGGATCCCCAGCGGCAGCATCATAGGGCAGGACCTGGCGCCTATCTCTGATTCCCACAGCTGCCCCCGCCCCTGACTCCTCCAGCCCATCCTCCACACCCACCACCACCGGAGAGACCTTTCCAAAGTGGAGCCCACCTCTGCTCAAAATTCTTCCATGGTTCCTTATTACCCTCAGAAAAAAGGCTGACACCTCCGCACGGCCTACAGGGGCCTGCCTGTGCCAGCCCCACCTCCGTGTCTTGCCACATACCCCACACGGCCAGCGTTGCCCATACCAACCAGGCCATGCTGGCCAGCGAACGGTTTAGCCTTCGCCCAGCAAGCTTTTCTTGACCTCTCACCAAAAGCCTCCATGTCCTTCCTGGCCCGCCTCCTCTGAGAAGCCGCCCTTCCTTGTTCTTTCATCAGTACATGGTAGCTCCACCCCCTCCCCAGTTTCCATGGCACTTTGTCTCTCTGGGGCCCATCTGCTTTCACATCTGACTCCTCCCCTAGATTTCGAGCTTCTCAAGGGCATGGGCTGATCTTCTCCATCTCTGTGTGCCCAGCCTTGGTGTATGGAATTGGTGGCCATAAACAGCTGCTGACTTGAAGGCTGATTGAATTGAAATGAGAGAAAAAGCCTTGAATGCCAGCTCTTGTCCCCAAGCCCCTGCCCCTGAGTGCCTCCAGTCACCTCCCCCCAGAACTTTCCCACTGCCTGCATCTCCCCCAGGCCTCCCTCCTACCTGCTGCCCTCAGCACAGTGGGGAGCCTGGGGGGCCCCCCCGGGTCTGTGAGAGCCTCGCCGCGGGGGCGGGCGCGGGCGGTCACCTGGGCCAGCCCTCTCCAGGGAGTGAGCCGAGCAGGCCGGGCCCTGGCCCGTGGTCCTCCACTGCGGTGGTGAGCAGCAGCCTCCCCGATTTTCATGCGGGCCTCAGTGCTTCAGTGAAAGCCGGCATGGGAAGTTGCTAATAATGGCACTAAAATAAAATATGCTACATCTGTTATGGGTAGCAGAACAAAATTAGCTGCTCACACCTCTGACATCCAAGATGTCTTAACTTAAAATACTCCTTGGCTTACTTTACATCATTTACTGATTATATTTAAAAGAAATACAATTTTGCAATTACTGTTCTTTCCAGCGTGGTATCTATGCATCATTTTCCTTTTATGTTTATATATTTCTCCTTCATTAGTGCAGTCTGAAGGGTGATTAGGATTCTTCAAACATTTTACAGAGGTTAAACGTTGATTAAGATTTAATTATTACTGTAAATAGCTTGGAATGACATATGGTGCAAAAGCCTGACATATGTGCATTTGAATAAATGAAGTGCTATTTCCCAGGATGCCTCAGTAGCTGTTTAACAGCTTTCCCGAAGGGTTATGTTACACCTCATGGTAAGATTGCTGGGATGTTATATTTTGTTGGTTTTTGCAGCTGAAAGCTAAGAACAGTTTTCCAGTTTTTTAAAAACATTGAATATTTTAAATACCTAAATTGTTTTGCACAAATTTTTGCTAATTTGTCTAACTAGGTTAAACATTTTCAAAAGCATTTAGATTTTTAAGCGTGGGCGCTGTGCATTGTGTCAGTGGCAGCGCAGGGACGAGGGGAGCGGGTGGAGTGGAGGGGACTCAGAGGCCGGCAGGGGTGGGGATGGAGGAGGTGGTTTGAGGGGAGGGGGCGGGGAAGAGGCCCAGGCCTTGAGCCTAGCTCTTGTCTTTTTGGCCCTCTCAGGTGGCTGGAGCCTGGGTGCGAGGGCACGAGGGACTGCAGGGGAAGGGTCCCCGTTCTGGAGAAGCCCTGCCTTGCCCACCAGCTCTAGTGCCATCAAATTCCCTCTTGCCTGGCCCCTGACATGCACAGCCTGGGTATGACTGAGTCCTTTGCAGCAGGGCTAGTCTGTGGCACCTTTCGCCAAGGCCCCAGGGTCTCCAGCCAGAGTACCATTGGGTGGCAGCATGGGGGGCTGGGTTGGGCGGGGTGGGGGGGCGATTCAGTCCCATTTTAGACGGGTTGGTCTAAAGTGCCGAGGACACAGCCATACAAAGGTCCAGTCAGCAGTCCGTCGTGGGCCCGAGGCTCAGGGGAGACTCCTCAAATCTGGGAGTCACCGGGAAGCTTGAGTCACTCAAGAGGTGTGTACAGGGAAGAGGTCCAACCAGGGATCCTGAGAAGTGTTTAGCGGATGTCACAAAAAGGGGGGCTAGCAGTGACCTGGGAGAGAAAGAGTTTTGGTGGAACGTGGGGGGATAGAAGCATGATTTCCTGTGAGTTGAAAAATCAGTGGGAGGTAAGGAGGTGGAGGCGGCTGCCACTGGAGATAATGCCCTGAGGAAACTTGGTTTTCGGGGACGAGAGGGACCAGGTGGTCGTTGCGGCGTGGCATGGGGTTAAGTGGGGCGTTTCTTGGAAGGTTCTCTTCTGGGTTGGAGTGCGGCTGGGCAGGAGTCAGCAAACTGAAAAGATGGGGAAGAGGGAGGACGATGCCGGAGTGGGCCCCTGGGGTGGGCGGGGGCGGCGGAGCCCGGGGGGTCCGCTTCTGAGGGGACGGGTGGTTGCTGCGGGGTAGCAGGGGCAGGTGTGGAGCAGAGTGTGGACACTGGTAGGCCGTGGATTCGATGATGGGACACTGCCGGGTTCCTTCTGTTGCCTTCTGTTTTCCCTGAGTAGGAAGGAGGCTCCTCTGCTCAGGATGAGCGGGGAGCTGGGGGTAGGTGACCTCTGTGGAGAATGGAGAGGGAGGTGACTGGCAATGTGGCCAGGGGTGGGGGTTGCTGGCGGCCGGAGGACCCAGCCAAAGTCACGGACAGCGAATGCTGCGTGGTCCCCATCAGGTGGTCAGGTTCAAGCGGAGACAAGGTGGCTGCATGATTGGCTTCCTCCAAAGCGGGGCTTCTGCCAGTCAGGGCTGGAAGGGCCTTGGAGCTAGGGAGTGGCTGGGCGATGGCCCCTCATGGCCGGGTTGGAGGGGAAGAACGCGAAACCGAGCTGCAGGGAATCTGGGGCCTGAGGTCTCTGTGGTCTAAAAGCAGACAGGGAGCGAGAGTGGGGTGCTGGAATAATCGGGGCCTATGGGGTCCGAGAGAGTGGGGTTCAGATTTAAGGAGTCTTGCTAGAGCCGCCCTGGTTGGTGGCCGGGTCCATGGGGTGGCCCTGGGAGGGGATAGTGCAGCACAGGGGGACAAGGTCATTGGAAACGAGAGAAATACAGAACCCAGAGGTCAGAGCATAGGATGTTCACCCGCATGGACGCTCTGTCGGAGGAAGAGGCACGACCTGGGTCGAAGAGGATGCTGTGAGCCTCTTGGCAGGATGGCAGAAAAAGTGGACATGTGTTAGGTGGCACACAGGCACCCTGGCTGGGGGCCAGGGGCAGCGGGGGAGAACTGTGGGCCCCGACTGCCCTAGTCCTAGCCTCCCGTCCCACCCCCTCCTTCTCAACCCCCTCACTTTTCCGCCCTCTGTTCTTACTCTCTCCTCAGATTGAAACATCCCAGTTAGAGCCTGAGATTGCCCGGGCCACCAGCAGCCGGACAGTGGTGTACAACAAGGGGCTGTGAGTGGTGGCCAGCCGGCCCGGGGATGCGGCGCTGTCCAGCCTGGGGAGTTGGGGGCGGGGAAGGAGTCTCCTGAGCAGCACCTGCAGGTGGGGCGAGCTGACCCCAGCAGTCCTGGGCCACCTGGGAGGGTCTCCATCCACAGTGGTAGGGAGACTAATCCATTCACATGTTAACATAAGGGAGAGGAATTCTGACACATTTCCTATAAAAATAATCAAGTGCATTTCTGGGCCTTACGTGGGGTTGTCAAAACTCTACTCAGCACAATTATGTGTGAAGCTGAAAAATTGTAGAGTGCCCACAGGGTAGAATTAGGATCCTTTTATACTTTTTTTTTTTTTTAATTTTTTATCTGAATCAAGCCTTGGTTGCAGCTGCCAAGATGCTGCTAGCAGGTGGTCTGGTGGTGAGAGTAGGGGTAGCCCTTTGAGCTGCTGGTTTGGTGGCTGGGCTGGTAGATTTAAGACATTACTGTGGCCAAGACCAATGTCTCCCTGGGTTGGGCAGGGGTGGGGAAGAAAGGGGAGGCCGTCTGCACCTCAAAGGATGAACCAGCCATGACTAAGGTCCCCAGGAGGTGGCCCAGGAAATCGAGGAGCACTGAAGGCCTCTGGAAGATTCCATGATCAGCTGGCTTTGAGTGTGGCTGGCCTTCAAGATCCGTGCCTCACCTATCAAACCAATTCCTCTACTTAAAGCCCAGCAACACGCTGGGGCTGGCATCACTCTTTATGGAGCCCTAATATATTTGAGGCCCCTGAGATGATCCCAACTCTAGACAGGAGCCGTAGGCATGTAGTCTGGTCTTTTCAGGAAGGTCCTCCTTCCCAGTACCAGGCTGGAAGCTGGGCATTAGGGCCGAGCGCGGGGTTGGAGCCAGGCTGACTGGTGTTGGGGAAGCCTCTCCAGCCACTGAGGCTGCCTGCCCCATCCCACTGCTTCCTGAGGGTCTCAGAGAGAACAAAGGCCAGATCTCTCGGCACCTATCTGAGAAGGAGTGTCAACCCAGGAACGGCAGACTCTGGCTCTGGCTGGTTATGTGACTTTGGACAAGCCCACTCCCTTCTTTGAGCCTCTACTCCCAGTCTGGAACCAGAGGACCGGATCCAGGGGTTCCTACCTGCTCTTCCAGCCAGATCTCGTCTTTGCCTGTCCTGCTCAGATGCGGGTCATCCCAGGCACATCCCAACATGGACACTGGACTTGGGAAGGGGCAGGCCCGTTTGGGAATGGCCAGCAGTTGGCTTCAGAACCTGGACTTTGCTCTTCTGTATGTGACGCCATATCCTGGGAGCACTTGACCTTTGCCAAACATGTTATAGTTCTGAAGGGGGAGGTAGAGTGGATGCCTGGGCTTGAGTGGGGGGCCTCTCACCCTGCACCGCCCCTCAGGCCCCTTGTCGCTGGCTGCCGGTTCCCTTCCCTTGCAGGCCAGGAAAGAGGACAACTCTGCAGAGGACCTCAGGGGCTGAGGAGGGGGCGAGCAGGGTAATCCTGTGTCTGAAAGGCCCACAAAAGAGGAATCATGAGTCTCAACGGACCCCTCAGCTAAGCCCTAATAGGATGAGCCCTCAACCTGCAGCCACAGGACCTCCGCTCCCTGGGTGACTCCACCTGCGGAGAGATGTGGCTGGACGCGAACGTGTGCGTGCAGGAAAAGGCTAATGCAAGGCAGCAAGGGCATGGCCTCAGGTAGCTCTGCTGCCCTTAGGGCGGGAGAAGATGCGGCAAGGTGGCTCTTCTGCAGGCACTGGCACCCTACACCCCACAAGAAGCCCCTGTCACCCTCACCTCCCAGCCAGGCCCTGGTGCCCCCCAGCTGGCTCTGCAGGCTGCTGCCCTGAGGGGCCCCCACTCCCCCAAGGGGCAGCCCACCCACTGCCCATCAGGAAGGGGAGAAGGCAGAGACAAGCATGGAAGACAGAACAGCAGAGGGAAGGGGTGCCACAGTGTTGGAGAGGCAGGCATGTTTGAGTTGCTCCCGCCATAACGGGAATGTGCCGGTGCCTGGGGGCTGGGCACGGCTGGGCCTCTTTTGCAAAGCTCACTTCAAGCTCGCCCTGCCCCACCTCTCGTCAGGTCTTATTCTTGTGCACTTTACCTTGGGACCAAAACTGCCCACCCCAGCTGTACTCCCACCCCCTCCAGATGCCTGGCAGAGATGGGATCTCTCCAACCCCCGCCTCTGTGCTGGCTGCCCTGGCCCCGCCCCACCTCAGTGCCACCCCAGCCCTGGCCCTGTGGCCTCTGCATCTCATAACTTACTTACTTTGCCCCCCAGATGATTTCCAGTCATGCTCCCAAATGCAAGTTTAGGTGATTTATGGGGTTCCTCCTGGCAGGGGTGGGGAAGGCAAAGGATCCTTATAGCTCAAGGTGAGGGTGACAGATTCAGCTCTGCCCTGGCATGGAGGGGGAACCTTTGGCTAACATCTACCCCCACCCCCGTGCTGAGGCCAGACGAAGGGAAGTCTCACGGGAAGACTGTTCCATGACTGGGGAGGGAGCCGACTCAGGGCAGGGCTGGCCCGGCGGTGCCTGAATTCAGGGCATACCTGCAGCTGTTTCTCCAGCTCTTGTGTATCTGTCCGGCCCTCCTCTGGTCATGGCAAACACTCCTGAAGGCTTGGGGATGCCTTCTCCCATTTCCAGAGAACGGTCTGCGTGTGCAGGGACCAAAAGCCCAAGATGTCAAGATGGCTGATGAGTGAAAATGGCCAACAGATCCCTTTCTATGTCCTGTTGTGGGGTGGGGTATGTGTCGGGGGGAGGGTGTTGTCTCCTGCCCTGGGCCTCGAGCCTGGCAGAAGGGTGGGGTCCTGAGAGGAGAAGGGCCGGAAGACGGAAGCACGGTGGCTTTCCAGCCCTGGGCTGAGGTGAGCGAGGCTCCAGCACACACGCCTCGGTCACGCCCAGGTTGCTTTGCAGTGTCCTTTTAACCTTCTCAGAAAGTGTCTCCATCTCTGTGATTTATGTAATACTAATGAACTGTGGGCAATAAATGATGGATTTAAAGCATCGGGGCTTGTTTCGTGAATTATGGGTGAGAGAGGCGGGGGTCAGGGAAACATAGTGGGAACAAGCGGAGAGCCCGCTGAGGATCGTACGGGAAGGCCCCTGAGGAAGATGCAGGCCCAGGGCCAGGAGGGCTCAGGCCCTCTGGGAGGCCCGGGGCGGGGTGGGAGGGGGGCGGAGAGGAAAGGGCGAGAGCATGTGAGGACAGGAAACTGGAAAACCGGGATGAGTTGGAACTGCCAAAGGAATCCCCTGTATGGAGTGGTTGGCTGAGTGCTTACTAAGGGCCAGTGAAGGAACTGGGGTGGCTAAGGACCTTAGGGAGATTCTCACTCTGTTTATATCAAGGGGACTGGAAGGAAGGGGGTGGTCATTCTGGGCTGCCGGGGGCCAAGAGAGGCTACATAAGGTGGAAAGCTTTGCGCCAAGCGGAAAGGTGCCTGATGTCAACACTGTGCCCAGAACCAGCCCTGGGGACTCTGCCCCTCCCTAAAGCCTCCACAGTCCCTCAGCACCAGGCCTTGGCTGCCTCCTGACAGCTCTGGCTCCTCCTTTTAAGGCAGCCCCAGAGTTCCTGAAAAAGTGAGGCCTCTTCTCTGGGACCTCTAAGCATCTTCCACTCATGCAGGGAGAGGCTGATGGCCCCCTAGGGCAGCGTGACCACGTAGTAGAGGTGGGGTCTGTGGTTCAGGTCAGGTCAGCCCCAGTGTGGCCCCAGCATAACTCTGTGGCTTCTCGACAGTCACTTCTTTTACTCTCCCATTCCTTGGGTCAGATGTTTGTGGAGCACATTCTCTAGCAGAGCCTTGGTGTCCTTAGCTATAAAATGTCCGCATAGCTCCGCTTGCTGGACTGGTGTAAGGACATTGGGGAGACCAGGTGAGGAGCTCACCCAGACTCTTCTCTCAGCCTCCTCAGTGTCAGAGGTGCTGGGCCTCCCTAGGAGGGTGGAGGAGGGAAAGGGATGGGGGAGGGGTCTGTCCCCCAAGCAATACTTCTGAGTCAGGGGGCTCCTGTTCTCTGGGGAATTTCTTTGCTGAGAGCCCCACTAGCCACAACCCCCATCCGGGTGGGCGGAAATCCTTGACTCTCAGCACAGACACAAATCCCTCCTGGGAGCTGTTTGTTGTTTTTAGCTGGTCTGGGGTCTCAGCTCCTGCCCAGCCCAGAGATCATTAACACTTCAGGAATGTGGCTTCCACCGCTGGCCCCTAGGGCCTCCCTCCTCCCACCCCAGCCACGGTTAGAAGGAGAGCCAGAATGCTGGGGGATGAGGGCAGTGCTGAGTGGCCCTTCCCCAGGGCTCTGGGGAGCCCAGCCTCAATTTCAGGAAGCAGCCTCCCTCAGTCCCCCAGAGCTGCGGCTGCCCCGGCCTTCTCACCCATCCCCGCATCACTGACTAGCCCGCAAAACAGGAACCTATCAGCCACACCCCCGGGCCTAACCCCCACATGCCCACGCTTCCCGCAGTACCAGGTGTCTCTCAAGGCGGGGGCCAGGCAGTGTCCCTTCTCCACGCCCCACACCGAGGTGAGGCAGCTGCCGGCAGCCTAGTCTAAGAGCAGAGTCTGTCTGCTCCCCGACAAGGACATCTCTGCAGCCAGAGCAAGATTCTGGCCTCTATCCCCCCCCCCCCCCCCCCAGTTCCCTGGGCCTTGCGGAGGGATGGAGAGAAGAAGGAGGGAACAAAAAGAGGAGAGAGAAAGTGGACAAATGGGCTAACAAGCTAAAGACACCCCCTTTGAAAACCCCATGCAAATCCAGGGAGGAAGTGAGAGGACGGGGCTGTCCCCCACTACCTGAGCCAATTCTCTTCTTCACAGGTAAGCCTGGCAGAGGGAGGGACAGGACCAAAGGGCCCTCACTTCCTTTGGAGTTGAGCTGCCAGAAGCTCAGTTGTTAGAGCAGAGGGGGCAAGACACTGGAGGTAAATGTGGGCCAGCTGTTGCGGGGCCAAGGGCAGCTGGGAGCCGCCAGAGGCTTTCCCTGGAGACATGGCTCATCTGCTTACAGGGCGGAGTGCAGCATGGACTCTAGCAAGACTGCTGGGGAGGGCAGGGAAGAGGCCACTGTGGCAGTCAAGGCGAGGGAACACGGGGCCTGAGCCAGGTGGTGGCGTGGGGATGGAGAGAAACGAAGACATCAGGATTGCTCCACTCTTGGCGATCAGTTGTGGGGAAGGTGACACAGAGGAGTCAAGGGTGGCCCTGAGTCCCTGGCTTGGGCAGCTGAGGACACAGAGAGTAGTGCCATTTCTTGGTGCTAAGGAACAGAGAAGGAAGAACAAATTTGCAGAGAAGGTGATGGGTTCTGCTTTACAAGTTAATAGAGGTTCCTGTGAGCAAACCGAGTTGAGAGGTCAGGAGACAATGGGTATGCTTGTCTGGGACTCAGAAGGCAGGTCGTGGTTGGATGCAGAGTGGCACATTATCTGTTTATTGCGATCACCTGGAGCTAAAGGAACAGTGATGACCACCGAGGGTAGCGTGTGGGGTGAGAAGTGGAAGGCCTGGTATGTCATCTTGAGGAGTCCCCATCCCTGCAGCCTGGGCAGAGACACAGGAGGCTACTAAGAAGTGTTATGGGCTGAATTGTGTCTCCCCAAATTCATATGTTGAAGTCTCAATCTCCTGTACCGCAGAAGGTGACTGTATTTGGAGGTGGGGTCTTTAAAGAGGTAATTAATGTAAAATGAAGTCATTAGGGTGGGTCCTAATCCAATATGACTGGTGTCCTCATAAGAAGAAATTTGGACACACACATGCACAGAGAAAGAATACTATGTAAACATGAAGACAGACATCTGCAAGCTAAGAAGAGAGGCCTCAGAAAAAACCAACCATCTGGCACTTTGATCTTGGACTTCCAGCCTCCAGAACCAGGAGAAAAATGTCTATTGTTTAAGCCACTCAGTCTGCGGTGCTTGTCATGGCAACCCTAGCAAACCAATACAAGAGGTAAGAGGAAGATGAGGAGTGTTGTACCCTGAGGATTACAGGTGAGCATCCTTCAAGTAAGAGAGGTTGTCCACATACTCAGTAGGTGCTGAGAGTTGGAGGGAGAGGAAGACAGGGTGTGTCCCTTGGAAGGAACTGCAGAGAATGGTCTCAGTGGAGTGTGGTTAGGGTAAAAGCCAGGTCTCCATGGGTCGAGAAGTTAGCAGGACTCCCACTGACTGCCAGTGTAGATAATTCTTTAAAGAAATTTGGTTGTAGGTTGGTCAGAAAGACATGACAATGGCTGCGGCATGGCATGGGGCCAGGGGAGGGCTTTACATGGGAGATTCTTGGGCCTCCTGGAACTCTAATGCGTGAGCGCAGAAAACACGGCAAAGGCAGAGAGGGAGTGAGGTCCCCCGGGGGTGCAGGGAGAATCCTCCCTGAGGAGAGAAGAGCCTTGGGCAGTAACAGGAGGCAGGTGTACAGGGGAGGTGAATGCCGGCAGTGTGGGTGGGGAGGTGGGGTGTTGAGGGGTGAGAGGCTAGATTCCCTGGGTGCTCCAGATCAACGCTGCACCTTTGTCCACTCACTGTCCATCCCAGGAGGCTGACACGAATGGACTCGACATCTGGCTCCCACCATTGGGAGTCAGTAGGAAACTGGAGGTTTGGAGGAGAGCGAGACGGAGGCCTGGATTGCCCCGGCCTCCCCTGTGGTCCGGGGGCCTGCGGCTACTGAAGACCGCAGCTCCCCCGGGGCTCTCTCCACCCAGCTGCCCTCGCAGGCCCTGGTAGCTGCTGCCCCTCGCCTCTGCAGGCCTGAAGGCTGAGTGGGCTCCCCGCTGCTGCCAGCCTTGGGGTACTGCAACATCTCTTGTTGGGGTCTCAGAATTGGTTAATTGTTCCTTTTAATCAACTCTCCTCAAAGTGTCCCATTCAAAGGGACCATCCTTTCCTGCCAGACCCCTGAGTGACATGATGGTGTTCTCTTCCAGTGTCTCTATTTTCTCTCTGAAGATGGAAGTAAAGTGTCCTCTGCTCAGGGGAAGGGAGAGAAGAGGTATGGGGAGAAGGGTGGCCGTCTGAGGCCTCCCCTGTGCGGAACGGGGCTGAGGCCTCCGCTGAGGCTGGGACCTTGGCCCTCAGGGCTGCCGTCCAGCGGGCCTGCTGCTGTCCTCACGGACTCAGCTGCAAGGGCAGGCAGGGAAACAGGTTTAAGCGAGTCTGGATTTTGCCAGGTTGTTACAACTGAGGAATAGCGGGACAAGAGGACGTGGGCAAGAGAATAGAGGAGCCTGTGGCCAGGAGGGGCCTGGGAGGTCGAAGCACGGATGTAGAGAAAAACTGGGCGACTGAGTGGGGAGAACACGGGGGCTGACAGGAAAGGACGTCTGACGTGTGATTTGAGAGCAGCCGCAATTCTGGGGTCTGATGAGGCCTGCGAGTGGGTAGCGATGAGGACAGTAGGGAATGAGGGGCCCAGGGGCTGAGTGGATTGTCCCTGGAGACTCCCAGGCCTTGGGGGAGCAGGAAGACCATAAGCAAGGATTCACAGTCTTTGACAAATGAGGGGGTGTGACTGGGACATGCAGCCACACGCTGCCCACATGCACAGCCACATGCCCACACACACCCACAGTCACACTCATGCACACACGCCCACAGCCCTCCCAGACCAGACACTCCCAGACACCCTCACATGCACTCACCCTCACACACGCCCCAGACAGCAGATGGGGCGCTCGGGTAATTGGTTAAACCTGTTCTGACGTCTGGCTCCGCATTGGCAGCGCCTGTCTGACAGGAAAGCTGGCTGGGCCTGCTCCGCGCAGCCTGCTGGCCTCCCGGCCCCTCCCCCTGCACGGCCGTCCAGGAGCAGGGGCTCTGGGAGAGGCCTGCGGGTCCAGCCTGGCTCCTTCTGGCCAGAACCCAGTTGATGAAGCCGGGGTTGCACAAAGCCCCATGGGAAGGAATCGCAGCACCCGTGAGGAGGACTTGGTGTAAGGCGGGGTCAGGGATGCTAAGAGCACGAGCCATGCTGCTGTGGGGGCCAGAGGGACTGGTCCTGGAAAGTTCTGAAGACAAGAGGATGTGTAAAGATCGTTCCCCGAATGTGAGACACAGGGCTTAGGTCATGAGGGTTAAGAACAGCTCCCCTGCATCTCCTCCTCTTCAGCCACATGCACCTTGGGGTTGCCACAGGTGCTCATCACACCACAGTCCCTGGGACCCTGCAAGGCCTGGGGGCTATGACCCAGCAGCCTGCTTCACGGAAGGCCTGACCCAGCAGCTCCTGCCACCTGTGCTCACCGGTGCAGGCCCTAATCTCCTGGGGGAGGGGCCGTCTGTTGGGGGAGGGAGGGGAGCATCATTCCTAGGCTTCTTCTCCCCTTCCCGGCTGCATCTGTGTCTCTTTTAGAGAGACTTTGGTTTGTTCCCTGGAGAGGGCCCAAAAACTCCCAAATTAGCAAACCTGGCAAGCCCACAGCTCAGAAAATAGTTCATCCTGATTCCATGTTTTTCAGGCTCACAGAAGCCTTTATTAATGAAGTCACAACACCAATATTTACCGTCTGCGGGGAGAGGCACAACATGGGGGATGGATGGGAGCACGCGGGGACTCCCGCCCCACCCCCAGCAGGCCTGGCCTAGGAAGATTGGCAGGTTTCCTTGGATCCTTTCCAGCTCTTTATCTGGATGACAGGGGGTGCTCTGCTGTGATCTCCCTGCACCCTTCCCCCACCCAGTGAGGGAGAATCCTGAGAGAAATGGCTCACCCATTCCTCTGGTCCCTACCCGAGCCAAAAGGATGCCTCCTCTTCTCAGCCTCACCAACTTGTGCACATATGCTCCCCCGAGGTCATCCCGCCTGCCAGACAGTGCGAGAGTCCACCTGAGGTTTAACCTGGACTTATTCAGGATGTGAGGGGCGCATTTTTCTGGTCGATGGGGCAGGGGCCCTGGGGTAGGACAAAGCCCTTTGGTTTCTAGGCCCAAGTGAGATGTCGATAGTCCCAGCAGGAGGACCTTCTGTGTTTGGATCCCTAGCTGTGCCCCAGGCAACAAGGCTGGGCCTTTGCTGCCTTTCCAATGACTCCCACATTGATCAAGCCCCCAGGACATTCCAGGCACTAAGAACAGAGTAAGTAAAGGCACAGCACAGGCAGAGCCCATGACTGGGAAGGACTCGGAGGCAAAGGAATAAGGTGTCAGAGGTACCTGGATGAAGGCAGAGAGTGCTGGGGGAGTCAGAGGGCAATGACCAGAAGATTGGGGTGCAAGTAAAGCCAGATGGGAGGCAGTGGAGTTTGGCCACAAGAGGGTGGCAGTAACTGACTGTCATCAGCATCAGCAGAGAGTGAGGAACCACTTGGGAAGTGAAGAAGTAGAGACAGTTCAGGATGTCATAAGGAACAGGTTGTTAGGAATTCAGATTTTACTTTATTAGGATGAAGGAAACCTTGGTGTGTAACAAGCGGGAAAGATAAGTGGACAGAGTGAAGGGCAGGTGAACTAAAGAGCTTGGTGTACCCTGCTTTGCGCTCTTTTCCCAGTTGGAAGCCCTGCGTCCTTGGGCGCTGGTTACATTCATGCCCTGTCTCTGAAAGCTTTAATTTGCACGGGGGTTGGGTTCTCCAGGGACAGGTGAGCATCCTGGTCAGGCCAGGACCAGGGGCTGGGACTGTCAATCTCTGTGAAGGGTGTCGCCTCCACCAGCCCCCAATACTCCCCTTTTCCTACAGTTTCTCCTCAACCAGGGAAGCCACCAGTCTCTCAGCATGGGGGAGTGTGCACATTCTCTCTCCCCTGACCCACCTAGGCCTGATTCTCATCACTCAACATGTTTGAAAAGACCTGAGCATAGCTTCCCTCGTATGCAGGGTGGCCCTTCCCTATGTATAGCCTCAGTTTCTCTTGTTGGGGAGTTGGAGCTTGAAACCAGGTTGATGATCAACAAAGGAAAGGAGTTAATAAATGGAATCTCCAGGGCCCCACCCCGGGCTCCCAGGCCCTAAACGAGCTTGCTCTGCCAGTCCCCACTGGCCCCCAGAACCCGAATCTGCCACCCCAGGCTCACAGGCTCTGGGGTTGGAGCTGGATGTCCATGTCATTAAGAGAGAGAGACTTTTATTGTTCCCATTGGGAAGGGAAACACAGGGAATCACTAAGAACTACAGTGGGTGCCTGGAAAATAAATTAAAACAGAAATACATCAAAACAAAAAGAAAAGAGAAATGGAGAATGGCCGGGAGGCAGCAATGGCTGTCGGCCTGCCCAGGCAGGCAGTCAGGCAGGTTCTCCAAGGAGAAGGTCGAGCAGTCCCAGGCCTCAGCCAGCCCATCTCTTGTCCCTCTGTCGGTGGTAGCCCCAGGCTCCGAGCCCTATGGGGCTGTGACTTGAGGCCTCCCCGAAGCCCGGCCGGGGAGTGGCCAGAGTCCAGCTGGGCCCATCCGGGGGCCTGGCCAGCAGCGAGCAGCACTCTGCCCTCATGGGTTCGTGGCTGCCCACCCTAGTCATTGGAGGTGACATCGATGTCCTCCCCATTTGCCTGCTTGGTGGCAATGCGCCACCGGTTGATGTGGTGGGAGCCCTTCTTCTTCTGCTCGGATTCGGGCCCCTCCTCCTCCAGCTTCTGCCGCTTGTACTTTGTCCTCCGGTTCTGGAACCACACCTTCACCTGGGCCGGGGAGGGAGGGGCACAGGTGAGAAACACCCAGGAGGCCCCCAGAGCAGCCACAGGGGTGGGGGCCCCAGATGGGGAAACTAAGGCCAGCGTCCTTCCCTCTGGCCAGCTGCTGCTTTGGGCTTGGAGGTCTTTAGGCCTGGAGAGGACACAGTGGGCCAGAAAGGGGCATTTTTCTTGTCCCCCTCCACAGAGGGAAGGGAAGGGTCCTCGAGCTCCTGAGCATCCTATAGACACAGCACAGCAGAAGGGGAGGCCCAAGCTCGGGAGCAGGGCTGACCTGGGTCTCCACCGGTTTCTAAAGAAAATCTAATGATCACTCCTCCACAGGGCTGACGGGAACATAAATGAGAGAACATATGAAGCCATCACATGCTCCATCTGTCACCTCCCCCTGACCGTGCAGTTTTTTTACTTGGCCTTGCAGAGCCAGGCCAGGCCAGATCATCCTGAGTCATAGCAGGGGCCTGGGTGCTGATCCTCTGCTAAGTTCCTCCCACTCTCTGGGCTTAAATCCCTCGTCTATAAGAGAAATGCTTTCTGGGGGCCTGGCGACTCCAGGGCACCTCCTGGGCTTTTGCTCCAGAGGGTCTCTAGGGAAGGTGCTGCAGAGTGGGCAGGGTTACGAAGCATGGGTGGTATCCTAGAAGTGACAGCACATTTGAAAGCAAGTGGTGCCAGACGCAGTTAGGGTGATCCATGGGGCCCATGCAGGTGGTGAATGGTAAGTCGTACATGTGGAATGATGGTGAGCACCTCAGTTTTGGCAGCAGCAGCGATTGCTGAAAGGAGACCCTTGATTCCTGGCCAGGGCCAAGGGCAGTGCTCAGAAAGCCTCCCCAGTCCAGCCCCTGCTCCCTGAGAAAGAGAAAGCACAGGCCTTTGCCATAATTCCAGGCAATGGCAGCCAAAAGCAGGCTTGGTATCCAGACCCAGGGAGCTGTTTCCTCCCCAGGAGACTCCCTGACACTCCCCTCTGTCCCTTCCATGGAGCCCACCCAACCCAGGGCTCCCCTAACTGCTGCTCCCCCCCACAGGGTTTCCACAGCACCATCTGTCCTGCCCCTAGATTTTAGAGCACTAGGACAAGAGTGGGGACACCGTTGCTCAGTGCTACTCTGCAGAGCAGCCAGCCAGGGACAGGAAGAGGTGAGGGGCCTGACCTCAGGTGAAAAAAGGGAAGGGAGGGTCTTCCCCCCTCCTTTGCCGGGCAGGGATCCCCTGCCCGAGTGTCTCACCTCGGGCAGATGGGGAGGATGGCAGATGCTCTAGGCACAGGGTTTCATGCCCACCTTTCCTTGGGCACAGGGCTAGCCAGACCCTTGGGTGGTTCTCAGTATAACCACCAGCAGCCAGCCTGGCCCCTGCCCTCCACCACCCACCCTGGAGCCTGCTGCGACTCTGCCATCCAGTAGGTGGGTGAGCTTGCCCTGCCTCTTGGGCAAGGCGCGTACGTGAGTCACGCCTGGATACTGGCCCGGGGCGGCATTCCTAAGAGCCCAAGGGGCTGGCTGAGGGTTAGGCATGGCCAGCCCGATAATGGGGTGATCTGGGGCATCCCTGGGCAGTACCAGGGACAGAGGGTCCCTTTCTGCACCTTCTCCCTCCCACACATTCCCATGCCTCCTTCCTGGAGGGAGACATCTGTAGTGGGATGGACCCAGTCTGCTCCCCTTGCCTAGAATCACTGCCCCAAAGAAGGAAAGCTCCTTGGTGGAATTTCAGGCACGGGGGAAGCCTCCTGGCACACCCAAATGAGAGGTGATTCTGAATGTTTTCTCCATGCAAACAACTCGGTCAAGGAGGCAGCTGTCTAGAAACAGGGCCACAAACCCCCTCCCCAGGCAGCCTGGCTATCTCCTGGAGAACAGTCTTGGGCTGAGTGTCCAGATGCTGTTTACAAAGACTGTACCAACAGGGAGATGCTTATGACTTAGTAATATTAGTGGAAATGGCAGGATGCACAGTTTGGGCACAGTGTGATGACAGCCATGGAAGAACAATGTATGCGTGGGAAAAAAGACTAGAAGGAAGTACACCCAAAGCATGGGTGACTTTTCTTTCTTCTTTCCACTTTACTGAATTTTCTTTAATGCATTACTGATAACAATTAATAGTTATTTTTCTCCTTGGAAAAGAAAATGAACTGGAATCTGAGTGTGGTAAGAAATAAGAGTGACATCCATGGCCTCTCCAACCAAGCCGGGTAGCTCTGGGGCACCCAAAGCCCCTTCCCTGGAGGACAGAGGACCTGGAAGGGAACCAGGTCCCACAGTGTGGCTGCCAGCTCTGTGGGAGCCAGCCTGAGGAGGCTGGGCTGCTTCTGCCCCTTTCCCACGCCAACAGCCACACGCCTCTCTCTAAGCCCCAAAGACACAGCTGGGGTGTCGGCTGGAGGAAGCCCTCATCCATCTCTGACCCTTACAGGGGGTTTAAGGAAAGTTTCCTCTTGGTCTCCAAATTTGTACTTCAGTGAACGTCTCTCCGTTTTTTAGATAAGCCAGACCCCTTCCAAGGGTCTCTGCTTGTGCCTGAGCTACCCCACCTGAAATACTCTTCCTCAGCCTTCAAAACCCGGCTCAGGTGATCTGCTGCTTGACCCACCTGCCCCCTCGCCAATTGGCAGTTCCTTAGGGCTTTTCTCTGTCCGGGTTACAGTGACCCCAGCAGCGCACTCTTGTATTTGCTAGAACCTGTCTCCTCACCAGGCTGTGGGAACCTGGAGAACCAAAGCAGTGAGTTAGTACGCTTTGGAGTCCCAGCGGACACACTCCAGGTCCGTTCAGCCAGCTGGACAGAGAGATGAGGTGACCTAGCCCTATGCTCTGGGCCAGACCTGGAAAAAAGGAGAAAATCTATGGCAGAGGGATTGAAGTCTAATAAAAAAAAAGGGGGGGGGGTCTGTAAAGTGCTAATTATCAAAGAGAGGGGATCCTCTTTTTGCTTAGTTCAGTGGACACTTCTATAAGATGGTCAATTCTTTTAAAAAAATTTTTATTGTATTTTTTCCCATTACCATTTAACCCCCGAGGCGGTCAATTTTTAATTCTCCATGTTGTGGACTGTATTAACCCTTGTAGGGGTAGGCTGGGGGAGGAGACCCACTGTTGAGGGGGCACAAGGGTCAGCTTGAGTCAGGCCGGATGAAGAAGGTGAAACTGCTGTGGATGAATGAATGAACGAATCAGTCAATCAATGCATTAGTGGATTGATCAATGTATGCATAAATGAATAAAGGCATGTATCTATTAATGCATGAGTGAATGGACAAATAAACTAACAAACAAGCAAACTACAGCTCCAGCCAACATTTCAGACTTAACTTTTAAATAATTTGCTATTTGAATGAACCAGGTCTGAATCCCTTCTTTTCCTCCACTCCCCAACCTTAGCTCATCCCAGGTGGAAGGGTCTGGGGCTCCAGGCCCCTGCATACTTTCAGGTGAATACAAGTCTTCTCCTCAAGGAGTTCAAATACCCTCTTAAAAGGTATTTGAGTTCTGTAACTCTGATACAAAAGTTCTTTCTATGTCCTAGTGTTCTCTCTTCTGCTTTAATTTAATGCTGTGTACTCCTGTTCTGTCATCGTCAGACACAGAGAAAGTCCTCAGATTAGATAGAGGCTTGCAGACATAAATCAAGTCACTCCTCAGCCTGCTCTCCTCCCTGCACTCTCACCTTTTGGGACATGCACAGCATGAGGGATCCATTTCCTATCATTTGACCTGTGAACTGTTCCCACTCTCAAGGTCAAGCCCAATGCCATACTAAGCTCAACAGCTCAACTCTCACCCCACCAAACTGAGGTCAGCTGTGACCTCCGATCAACCACGGCCCTAACTCTTCCGAAACCTTCTCGTCTCCCCTCTTAGACCATCATGGATGTTGGTCCTCACTCTCAGGTGAATCACCCATGCGGGTCTCCCTGAGCTCCCTCAGCCTACACCTATGACTTCAAAGAGACTCCAGTTGCTCATCCTGTGCACGTCCAACAGGTGTACAGACTTTGTTTTTAGGTTCCACCACTAAGAGAGGATCTCCAAGGCCAAAGACCCCATTTCTGCACCCTTTTCCCTCACAGCTCAGCAAAACTTAAAGCCAGGGGAGGTCAAGAAACACCTGCAGAACTGTTCAGAGCAGGAAGAACAGCTAGAAACATCAATCGATCGATGAGCCTGGAGCAACCAAATGCTTTCTCTCACTCCCCCTAAAACTAATGTGCTCTCCTCACACACATGCACAGAAGCACACAAGCTGCAATCCATTCTACATGGTGGCTTGCTGGCATCTGACATGTACATATGCTATCACTTGATCTTTGGGCATCAATAACACTAAGACTATATGTGCCCCACATTGTGGGCACACATACCCATTACCTACATGCACATACACACTCACTTGCACTCTATGATCTGACCTAGCCACCAGGACTGAACTTAGCTGGGCATCATCCAGGTCAGACTCCAGGGCTGTACCACAGAAGTGAGGAGCCAGGGAGTACAGCCAAAGGGAGAAGAGTCTGGGGCCCCTCCCCACCTCCTGGATAAACCCAGCGTCATCGCAGCACAAACACCCTACTCCCAACCACACATACCCTGCCCCAACAAGGAAGCTCAGGGCGCCCACCTCCTAACAGTCCATGCTAAAGCTTTGAGCGTACAGAGACCCCTGAGCTCTGGATTAAGATCCACACACTGATCTGCCTAACCTTCCCACAAGCTTTATCCGTGAATAAAACTAGATCATCTAGATCAACAACCTACAAAACAGAGGGACAGGGAGAAGTGACAGCAGACAGCAAGGGAAATAACTGATAAAATTAACATATGGGTATGTGTACAATCAAGAGAAGCCTGCCCATTCAATCATTACATATTTATGGCACATCTACTCCCTGCTGGTCACTGAACTGGGCCCTGGGGTGCAGCAGTAAATAGGAAGTCTTGGCTCCCGCCTCCCAGAGTGGAGCTGCTCAGGCTGGCTGTTCATCAGAATCACCCAGAGTGGTTTTAAAAACTTTTCCTGGATCTCTTCCTGAAACTTCTAAGAGGATCTCCTGAGTGAAGCCTAGGAATCTGTATTTTAGGTTTTCTTTGTAAGACAGACACAGCCTGTCTACAGACTGACATTTGGACGTGGCAGCAAAGTCCTGTGCATATTTTGATATGTGAGCTCTGAGAACTGAAGAGGAGGGATTACACAGAAACAGAAAGAAGTAGAATATAGATGAGCCAGAGACTCAGGGCTGGAGAGAACCCTGAAGTTAATTTCATTCTATCTTACAGATACAGCAACTGAGGCTCAGAAAGAAGACAAAGCCACAACTGATGAGATGACAGATAGCCATTAGCAGACATAGGAATATATTGTACTATCTGTCAGTTGCTAAACAGATCTATAGAGATGGAAGTTTTACATGGATAGTGGGTACACAGAAGATAAAACAAAATAGATGATAAAGAGATAACCAACAGTTGCGTAAGTAGGGGTTATTGTTAGGAATAAGATTATAATTAATGGGAAATATAAGTGAACCAGCTTTAAGAGGTAGTTTAATGAGAACAGACAGAAGTACATGGCTTGATATAAAACAGCTATTTGTGAGGGACAGATTAGAGAACTCCAAGAGACAAATATAGATATGGACAGTAGAAATAAATGGCAGGGGGCTGATGGGAGTGACTGATGCTTGACAAGTAGCAGATAGCTGGAAATGATAGGTAAGCTCGCCTGGTAAATACTGAAAGATGGATAGGTAATTAATGATATAACCTGGGTCCAAATGATAAGTCAGGAGAGTGACAGAAAGACAGCTCTGGTGATAAAGGAGACTGGGCGTAGCAGAAAGAACACAATTAAGAGTCAGGAAGCCCAGATTTGGATCTTATTGTAATACTAAATTGATATATTATTTTAAATAAAGGGAATGGAAGGACTCGGGATGAGGATATTACTTGAGTTAATATTAAGTGCCTTTAATCTTTAAACAACCTATTTTCTGGAGGAGGAACCCAGAGCCCAGAGAGGTTGAGAGCCTCGCCCAAAGGTCGCCCAGTCAGCAGGAAGAGCGAATTCGCATCTGCCTGCCCGGGGAGCTCTGCCCAGTCTCTCCCTCTCAGAGTCCCCACCTGGGAAGGCAGCCTCTATAGGGAGGGTTCTCAGGCTCAAACCTCCTGTAGTTCTATTATTATTTTGCTGTTTCATATGCTAAAACCAGCTCACCTATATACGTGGAAGAAGATTACTCATGAGTTTTGATAATGAAGCTGTTCTAATATGTTTGTTTTAAATATAAGTTTGAAACATTTTACAATAAAAAATGAAAAAAGCAATTATGTTTACTAGCTGGCATTGTTAGGAGCAAATAATGACAGGCATCTAGGTTCAATTAAAGAAAGTTAATTAAAAATACTCTCACTGTGCTAAAAAATTTAAAGTTTGAAACAATGATATTACTTCAACAAGTGTTAATTTGTGGGTGGTAATCGGGATTATAAACACTTTTGGTCTTTTTTTACACTTATGCAATTAAAATTTAATAACTAGTACTTTTTAAATGAAGTTAACTGTAAATACCATTCCTAAAGTGTCACCTTGTTTTAGACAAGTTTTAAATGCTGTTTGCCAGGAAGGAAAGGAGGGTGTTATTATATTAACATGTTTTTTAAACATATCTTTCTTTAAAATGTTTTTTATAATTAACTCCGTTGTTTTGTAAGCTTTCTCTATGGTTAGAACGGCCCAGCTAGCAAATCTGCAAAAAAAAATAAAAAATAAAAAAAAATAAAAAAAGTCCTTTAGCGGAAACGGGAGCAGTACGTCGATTAAATGGGGCACCAGAAGGTCGTAGATAGTAGATACCAAACTGCAACGCGAGGACCAGCGGGTGAGGGTCCGCGGGCCCCAGGGAGCTGGAGACTCGGTTAGGGTTTAGATTCCCCCACTAAGCCTCCTTCCTACCTCACTGCTCCGCAGGAGATCCCAGGCTTCCCCTCTACACGCCCCGCCCCCGCCCCAACCCAGAGCCTTCTCTTGGTCCAGGAATGAGGGGGAGGGTGATGGAAGGCAGGAGGCGAGGAGCACAGGAAAGGGGAGCGCGTGGTGAAATGCTAGGCCAGCTTGCAGACCTCTCTCATTAGCAAATCTGGGAGCTGACGAGGACCGAAGAGAGCAAGGTCTTCCGAGGCCCATCCAGACACTGAAAACCACCTCTAGGTCAGCAGCGGGCCCCTCCTGCAAGGGTGGGCCCAAAACTTAGGCGGTGATTCCCGGCAGCATTTATTTATGGCAAAGTCTTTTCTCACAATAAGCCCAAATCTGCTTCCTTATAACGTCCATCTACTTCTTTAAATTTTTTAAAAATTATCAATTACAAAAATACGTGGTAATTGTAATTTCACCCAGTTCAAACCCCTCCAACACCGGAGTTCATTCTCTCCCAACTCAACAGCACTTCAGGTGAATGAAACAGTCCTCGATACCCAGAATCTACTTTCCCACTATTCGTGGGGCCCTTCGATGCCCGCACGTCTCCAGAGCCGTCTCCACGGTTCCCTGCCAGCCGGCCTGCGCGGAGATCACGGCCATCCTCCGACCCCAAGCAAGGCCCGCCGCTCCCTTGCTTATCCCCTCTGTTTCTGGTATTTCTACCCCGAGGACACGTGGGCTTTGTCCCACTACCGCATCCGTTGGTGGGCAGTTGAGGCCTCGGCCAGCTCCGCCCAAGAACGGGAGCAAAGCCACGCGGGGAAGGCTGGGGCACCCCACGAAACCATGAGCGCTCCGGCACAGTGGCGCGTGAAGGGGGGCGGCAGTAATCAGCGCTGAGATGGCTTCAGTGACCGCTGGTGTGGCTACGGAGTGACAGAGGGCCCGCCGCCTCCGGACAACCTGGCACCTCCTCTGGGCTTTGGGAGCGGACTCCGGATAAGGGTCGATCCCGTCTCCCCGTGAGTCCTTAGGGCCTGATTAAAATCCCGCGGCCTCCGCGAGGCTAACCACCGGTGGAGGTCCGGGGCTCTGAAGACAGGCTCTGCGGGAGCGCCTCCGGGGTGGCTTTCGGAACTGGGCTGGAGAGGGCTCCGGCGAAGGCCGGGGGAGGACTCGGGCCCCTCCCGTACCCGCCCGCTCCCCCGCTGGCGGGGTGACTAGTACCTGCGTCTCCGAGAGGCTGAGGCTGCCGGCCAGCTGCTTCCGCTCGGCGCCCACCACGTAGTGGTTCTTCTCAAAGGCGCGCTCCAGCCGCAGCAGCTGCGAGGGAGAGAAGGCCGTGCGGATCCTCTTGGGCTTGCGCGCGAAGGGGCCGTGCAGAAGCAGCCCGTCCTGGGGCACGTCGCTCGCTGCCGCCGCGCCGCCGACGGCAACACCGCAAGTACAGACAGAGAGAAGTGGCGCCGTGAGCCGCAGCCCGGGGCAGCTCGGGTCTGCACGCGTACTCACTTGAGAGCTCCGCTACCCTCTCCAGTCCTTGACGCCCCTCTTTCTCCCCTCTCTCTTTTGCCTCCCCTTCCTTAAGTGCACTCTCCTCCCCACCACCTCCCTACATTCCCACAGCTACCGGGTCGGGGGCCGCGCAGAAACGCAGCGTGGCTTTTGGGCCAGCGGGTGGCCCAGGGTCTGGGGAGACGCCGGTGAGCACGAGCCCACAGTGCCTGGAGCAACCCAAGAGACGGGACGTGAGCGAAGTCCCTTAGCGCTTTTCTACTGCTTGTCCCATCCTATCTCCCTCAAGGGGGACCAAGAGTAGAGAAAAGGCTGGGTGTCAGAAAGGTGACCCGGGGAACAATAAAGCTGTTAGTCCTCCCCAGCCACACACAGATTCAGGAGCTAGGAGATACCCAAGGAATTCTCCCCTCACCTCTGCTTAACCCAGCCTTGCTCAGGCTACTAGCCCTTTGAAAATGCCTATGGGCGGGCCCAGGCTCTACCTTGGAAATGGTAAAAATAGGCCCATGGCTAGTTCAATGGCCAGGCAGCACCTGCAGGTGTAAAGTCAGGTTCTTCTTCTGCCTTTCCCCATCTCCCTCTCCTTTCCCCTCGAGTAAAACCCTCTCCCCACAGGAGACACTCACTGCTCTCTGGTGGGAAAAGACCTTGCTTCATCCCTGAATAGTCCTGTGCTAAAGAAACATGTTTACAAACAAGAAACAAATATCTTGGAATCTTTCTCTCTAATATATAGATATATAGGTTTCTGCATGGGTGCGTGTAAGTATATGCTCCAGCCTCCCTGCTGTCTTTCTCTCCCATCTACCATACAGGATTTTCAAAGAGTGTGACTGTCCCTTGGCAAATGCTGGCTGTCATGGAGACTCAGCTCCTCATGCAGGAGAAGGGGATGACATTGGACTGGATGAGTCTGGGGTGGTGGGGTCAGGAATTACAAAAGCCAAACCATCTTCCACCCCAGGCCCCAGTCTCAATGAACCCCCACCCCAACCACTCTAAGCCCTCTCTGGCTTGATTGCACGTGCTAACGGACTCTAAGAGGCCCCGACATCACCCATGAATTCACCCATGAATTCTCATGCAGTGGCACGTAACAGTCTCCCACCCACCAACAATGCAGAGCCCTAGATAGAATGTTTGGACAGAGTTAGCTGTCGAGGTTGACTGACCCAATGAATTTCTTCAAAAATGGCCATTGGTTTGACTCAATTTGACCTGCTGTTTTGTTCTTAAGACAATTGTTTGGGTCATTCAGTTGTGATCTCCCATCTCTGGAAATATGTCTGTAAGTGAAGCAGGGCACATACTTGAGATACTGTTGCTAAAACTCTCCAGGTTCATGTCCCTCTGCTGGTGGAAACTGCCTGACAATACTTTCTCCAAGTCCTTGGGCTTCAGACACCAATGGAGGCAAACTTTAGTGCTGATATTTTCTGTAGAACAGGGTTGCCTAGGAATGAGGGGCTAGTGCCTGTGGGGAGACAAAGTCCCCTGACTGGGAAGAGTTGCTAACTTCCAGTCACCTTATCTATTTCAAGTAGCTGAATCTGTGTTGCTACGAAAGGGAGGAGGGGTCACATCACAGGAAGATGGAAGAAGGGACACCCTGCCCATTGGGCCCTTCAAGATGGGGCAGACCATGAACTCTCAGGCTTGACTGAGGGAAGGGAAGTGTAACTTGTGGTAGGGGAGAGGACAGATAGTCAGAGAGGTGGTCTGACAGAAAGGGGCAAGAGGAAGAGAAAGGAGGAGACTGGCCCAGGTAGAAATAAAAAGTATGAAGGCTCAAGTGTGGGCAAGAAAAAGGTGGGAGAGGTGAGTGGGAAGCAAATACTTCTTGTTGACGTTAAAATAAATTGCTTCAAAAAACAACGTCATTCTGAGCCCAGGTGAAGTTCAACAGTGGTTTCCTCTGGAAGAGGGAAGGCCTGGCTCACCACAGCATTCAGATGGTTTGGCTCCTGCAGCTGGACTGGCCCAGGCTGGTCAGAAGTGAGGTGGCAGCAGACAGCCCCGTAGGTGCGGGGGAAGGGGACACAGAGGCGTGAAGGGCGGCACGGAGCAGAGGAAGCAGGACTGCAGTCTGCCTCAGTGTGTGGGACTCGATGGCTGTTTCATAATTTTGTGGCTTGTGTCCATCTCTTGTGCACTGGAGTTCTCTATGTTTGTCTTTATAAACCCAAAGTGGGGGATGGAAGCAACAGGCTTTTCTGCCATTCTGACATACACGCTTCCGATTGCCTCCAGTCTGGATATTTTAGGGGAAAGCTAGGTTGCTTGGGGTCTGCCTCGCTGAAAGCATGGCCTCAGTTCATTGCAATATCCTGTCGGGGAGGATAGCAGTCTGTGGTCACATACATGCACAGAAACACAGGGGTCCTTCTGATCCAACCACAAAGAAGCAGGGGGCAGAAAAAATATTCAAGATACTGATAAGTGATGACAAAAGAAGCAGGCCGTTACCCTGTAAGAAAGAGGTTATTTAGTGTATCCTGAGAAACAGATCATCAATAGCTACATGTTTCTGTAAGGACAAGGGTGGTCGGTGCCTTAGGTACTCACGTACCCCTCTTCACTCTGACCTATGAGGTGGGGGCCTCAACCATGCCTACCATGGCTTTAGTTTCTCTTAACTGGAGCACAAGGGCAGAACAAGCTTGGGGCTGGGATGCGGTGTGGCCTCTTTTGATCCAGTAATCCTGGGCTGTGAGAGTGGGCTGTCAGTTTCAGACAAGCACAGGTGGGAAAGTAAAAAAGGGAGCTGGCTTAGCCCTCCCTGGAGCTAGGAACTGAACCATCCCCACCAAACCCCATTTTTCTCCAGCCTCTCTCTGTGGGCCACTTCAAGGCCCTGGCTAGGAACTAGCAATATAGAGGCCCCAGAACGAGGCGACAGGAGGTGGGATCTAGGGACCTGAAGGGCCCAGGGCTCAAGCTGCAGTCCCTGCAGCAAAGGCCACGGCAGACTGGCGAGGCGGATGGGCCTGGGGCTAGAGAGGGAGAGGCCGGCTAGGCAGCGGAGATAACCTCATTCCCCCTCCTCCTGCAGGAACAAAGGCGCCCTTTGAAGCACCGGCCCATTACCAACGCTGGTCCCAGAGGACTGGGTCTCCCAAGGCCCCTTTCTGAGCTGCTCCCTGGCTTAGAAAGTTCCTGATGTCCCGGACAGGGCACTGAATCCAGCCAACACTTAGTCTCCACCGGCACCTCCCCTTCAGGCCTCAAAAACCGACCCCTGCTTCAGGATCCCGCCGCCCAGTTCTGACCATCCGGCGCTGGCTTTTCCTCTTCCACCGCCTCGCTCAGCGGAGAATCCGCTTCCCTGTACACAGGGACCGGGCTGCCAGAGAGCTCAGCGTATGGAGCGCAGACATGTTCCTTTTCGTTCACGTAGGGTTTCGTTTCTAGTATTAAAACAGGGCTGAAATGAGCATCGCAGGAGACCCGGTTCTCTAGAAAACGCGGCGCCGGAAGACGTGGGCTGGCTCGGCTCGCAGCCCCGAGCTGCGTTGGGACCGCAGGGCGCGCAGCCTCCGGGGTGCGCAGGGGTCTGCCGCGACGCTGACCGGCCCGAAACCAAAATGTCTCAGGGTTCTAAAGTCCTTCAGTGCTCAACGAATTTCCAAATTCAAAAATGCGGCCGCACTTGGCTCCATCTCCGCATCCAGACACGGTTCTTGAGAGAGAGCTCCAACCGTTTTGCAACTCCACAACGTGCCCGCCGGGACTGATAGCTCAGGCAGCGGCGGCAATTTCCGAAAGGGTTTTGCAGAGGATTTATTGGGCCTCGTCTGGCTGGGGATGCTTAGAACCGTACCTGGATCTCTAGGGAGGCGCCCTGGCCCTCAGAGCCCGAGCCCGGGAGGGCGAGGAGGCCAGAGTCGAGAAAGGCGGCTGGGAGGGACTGGGGCGCGGGTCGGAAGCCTGAGGGCTCCGCCCGAGAGGCCTTCTCGGGCTGAGCAGAGACCACAGTCTTAGGACCGGCTCTGCCCTCTGGTCCAAGCCGCTATCCCTCCATCAACCTGTGTACAGATTCACAAACAACCGCGACTCTCAAATCGGTCCGTGTGCACAGGGTTTCAAGTCTCAGGCCGGAAATCAAGTCCATGGAGGACCGAGGTGGTTTGCTTAATTTTGAACAAAACTTAATTTTATCAGTAAGCATTGTCTTTAATTGACAGGTTCCTCGACCAAATTGCTTTACATCGTAGGCTTTCCGCCCGTCTGGATGATTTGGACAAATCTTTGACATTCCCAAGGGAGACGTGTGCTCACAAAAATTCTTGTTCAAGTAATTACATTCTCTCATTTTGTGGGATCTGTCGGGTCAGTGTCTACCAGCTAGACGGGACTGAGAAAACAGTCTGACAAATCGGGACCGGGGGAAGCGGCTTCCCGTGAAACAAAACAGCTATAGCTAACGTTTCAAGAGATCATTTTTTTCTTCTATTATCTAGATAATTGTACCAAACATCAAGTTGTGTAGATGGGATTACCGTCAATTTAGCTCCAGAAGCTGAAGCTCAAACCACGTCGTTTTCATTTGTTTCACTACAAGTCGGGGTACCTGGCTCTGAGTCATGGAGCCTCTCAAGGCTGAGGTCTGGTCTACACTAACAAAATAAAGCCGGCAACTAAAGCGATCACTGCACAAATTACGGCTATTCTTTTTTTTTTTTTTTTAAGAAAGAAAGAAAGAAAAGAAAAACAAACTCCAACAAATTCAAGGAAGAAAACGAACTCCAACAAATGCAACTCTCCTTCGGAAAAGTCAGATAATTAAAACGTGTGTGTGTGTGTGTGTGTGTGTGTGTGGCCAGTGGGGGATCTTCGTGAGCAAACCGTTGCCCTTAGCGGACAAGAGGGCTCGAACTGCCTACGACCTTAAAAGCTTTTTGCCCCTACCCCCTGCCTGGGAGGACCGCTGTCCGCCTCCCAGCAGCCGGGTGGGCTCCCAGAGTTGGCAAACGACTGAGAAGCTGGGTTGCTCTTGCAAATCTCACCCTGGGTCCGAGAGGCGCGTGGGACTTGGAGAAGTCAGGCCAAGGTTGCTGAGAAACGTCTCAAGACAACGGAGAACGCCACACTGAACATTAACTGTCCAGTTTTCCCTACCCGCTGCCCCTTCTTCCCTCAGACCCGAGGCACGCGGGTGGACTTTGCCCTGCTCGGACGCGCCAGCTAGGGCGGATCCCTGGGAGTTGGTGATGGACTTGCGAGCGAGCGAAGTCTGGCCCCAGGTCCAGCCGGGGAGGAAAGAGGGCGGCGGGCGCTGCGCTTTCTGAACTGGGACTGGCTCGTCTGGGAGAGATTAAGGCAGGCCGCCGAGAAGACTGGGAGAGACTTCAAGGATGCTCCCGGGTTTGGCGTCCGGGTCGGCATCGTAACCGGGAAAGCTTGGAGATCCCAACCGGACTCTCTGGGAGGGAGCCCAACGCGGCAGAAGCGCTATGGATCCGGCGCTGCTCTCCCCGGCTTGGGAATCGGCCTCTGAGGACCCGCAGCCTTCTCGAAACAACTTCCGAACAGCCCCGCGCGCCCCAGAGCCTCCCCCGGGCCACCGCAGCGCGGGCGCCGGCCGACTGCCTAAGCAGGCACAGAGTGGGCACTCACCCTGGAAGCGGTGGCCGAAGAAGCGGTTCCGCAGGACCCAGGGGTAGAAGTGCAGAGGGTCCCGGTGCTGAGCGCCGAAGAAGGTGTGCGGGGGCTGCAGCGGGGAGGCGCCCAGCTGGTGCGCAGGATGCACGGTCAGCGCGGGATGGTTCATGGCCTCGGGGAACACGAGCTCCGGCCCACCGTAGAGCGAGCGGCCGGCGCCCGCGGCGGCGGCGGCAGCGGGGAAACCGCTCACGAATGCCGCCTCGGCCGCGCTGGGGTGAGGGTAATTGAGTGCCGTGGGCCGGAGCGGCTCCTCCGAGGCGGCCGCCGCCAAGGGATGGGAGCCCGCGCCTCCGCCGCCAGTGCTCCCGCTGGTGCCACCGTCCTTGGCCACCAAGGACTCGATGGTAAAGCCGCGTTTGGCTGTAGGCTGGAACATGGTCGCGGGCGCCAGAGCCGAGAGAGGCAGCTGGGCTCTGGTGAGCGTTCCGCGTCCGGGCGCCGCAGCCGTGCGGGGTGTACACCCAGCCAGGCACATGCACACACACCAGTACCCCTCACCTCCCCCGCCCCCCCGCCCGCGCTCAGCCCCTGCGGGTGAGCCAGGCGCGGAGCGGCGAGGGGAGTGCGAGCCAGGGAACGCGGAGTCGGGCCACGGCGCGCAGCTAGGCTCGCGGGCCTCTGTGGCCGAGCGGGCAGCTCCCGGCGCGTGCACTGGAGCGGGCTCGGTGCGCTGCTGCGAGCTTCCTCTGTGGCCTGTGGGCTGAGCTCGGCCCCCTCCCTTCCCAGTCCAGCCAGGACCGACCCCTGCCCGGGTCCTCCAGCAGCGCCCAGCCTGGCCTCGGCAGCAGCGCGGAGAGGCGCGAGTTAGCGGGCACCTGCCCCGAGCTCGCCCATTGGCCGCTGCTCACCTGCTCCAAGGTGGGGGGCGGGGCGGGGCGGGGCGAGGGACCCCAGTTGGAGGTGGGGGTAAAGAAGCCAGCAGTAGGAGGCAAAAACCGGACTGGAGCCTTACCGGGGCGATCTTGGCCTCTCCCCACTCCCCACCCTCTCGCCACTGGCTTCTCTCGCCTCTCCGCCCTTTAGCTAAGTCTGGCAGCCGCCTCAACAGTTTTCATCCACGGGAGCCGAAGAAGGTATCCCAGGGGCCAGGGGCTTGGGAGAAACTACAACCCCACTCCCCCGTGTATAACTCAGTTGAGCCATCTCCAATTCGTCCTGGGATGTTGTTTCAGTTCTTATACAACTTGGAAAGGAGTGAAGAGTAGGTGTTCAAGTTTCAACAAATAGGTTCTCCCAAGAACTAGCTCCCCACTCCTCTGGTGCCCGGGACCCTCCTGCTCACCCATTATCCATCTCCTGGGCCCCGGCCTTGTTCGTGAAGTTTCGCGTTTTCTGGGTGTCATGGGGGGAGGGGGCAGCTCCAGAAAGGGGACGCTCGATTCTTTTCACAGGGGATCCGGCCCGGGACAACGGGAGAGGAGCCGCCAGAGCGGTCGCCCTGCAGCCCTCAATCCTCAGTGCGCAGGACTCGGAAGCACCTTTGCTCAGCCACGGCCACCGTGGCCGGCTCGCACAGGGGCTGCCGGCCGCAGAGCGGGGTGATCTACTTTCCTCGCCTTCTCTGATCGTGTTGGTCAAATGCAGGCGGCCCGGGCCAGGCCGGGGCCTCGGGGACACTGTCTTAAATTGGAGCTGGCCTAGCAGTCGGCTCCGTCCACAAATAGACACACTGCCAGTCCCAGGAACGCAGCGAACGCCTGGCCTCTCCTGACCGGCACCTTCCCCCGCGACCGCAGGACAGCCAGCGACTCTGCTCGGGTCAGTTTCCATTTCGTACAATATTTCTCCAGGGGTGAGGGGGCTGTTGGCAAGGAGAACCAGTACTCGCAAACTTTTCCACCCGAGTCTTACAGGCCACAGGAAAGCACCGCGTCGAGGCCTAGGAGAACTAGGCGGCGGTGGGGAAGCTGAGACCGGGACCCTGCCAGCACAGTGAGAAATGGGGACCGCAGCGCGTTCCACTTCCTCTCCGCTATCGGGGTCAGTCATAGCGGCCCGGCTGCCGCCCGGTGCGCAGATCCGGGCTGGGCCTCCACGCGCCCCGAGGCCAGGAGGTCCGAGTGCCGCGTGAGTCTGCAGGGACTCCAGGCCGGGTCTTGGGAGTGGCCAGCATGAGCGCGGGGAGCCCTAGTCTAGGAGAGCGCTCCGGGCTCCCTTGTCGCCACAAAGCGGGTTAAAGTCTATTTTCCACTCGACTGCTCCGAAAAGCCCCCGCGCGCTGTTGCCGTCCGGGCCCTGTCGGGCGAGGTGGGGAGGGTGCGGCGAGAGAGGGGGAGGTGGGGCCACCGCACCCTGCAGCCCTCCGCGTCCTGGGAAGCCGAGTGCCCTGCACCGCGGAGGTGTCCGGAAACGTCTGCGGAAGGAATCGTTAAGGGATCCTTGGCGAGCGCTCCTGTGACTCTTGCTGGCCTCTCGGGATCGTTCTTGTCTTTTGTGCTGGTCTTCCCCTCTCTCACATTTCAGTCTCGGCCTCTCTTTTTCTCCTCTCTCCTCCCTGCTCCTCCAAACCGACTTTTTTCCCCCCTCTATTTCTTCCCCCTTCTCCTTTGCCGCATCCTCAGTCCTGGAAAAGGGGAAGCTCCACAAAGTGGGCTCGAAGACCCAACATTAAGAAGGCAGGATGCGGAGCTGAGCAGAGGCACAGACAAGGAGAGTTTCGTTCTATATGGAAAGAACTAAGAGGGGAGCAAGGTCCCCTAAGGGACACGGGCTCAGCTGGATACGCACTGCCTGGGCCTGTGCTCTGCGGAGACAGACCAAGTGCTGGGGGCTGCGAAGGATAAGGTACAAGTTGAATCCGGTTCTAGTCGGAGATGAACGCCGCCTGTCCAGCAGCAGGCCCTCGCCCCCTCCCCCAATGAGAGGCTGGGTGTTGACCTCGAACTCGCGAATTTGGGCAGGCAGCGGAGCTGGGAATCTACCAGGCCATTCCTAGACTCGCCTCTGCAGACCGGCCACATCTATGTTCATTCGTATGGCCCTGGATATACATGATATTATTTCATTCAATAGACCTTCAAAATAATATTTTCCCGTGCTGGGGTGCTTTCCAAATACTTTGACATCCAACCACCTGTCACTAACCCCGTTTTACAGGTGAAGAAACAGACTGCATAGGACCAGAGACTTGAGTCTGGGTTCAGCAAGGACGGCTGGCTCCGGTTCTACCCCAATTCCATCCCCGCTCCTGCGGCTGCAGCCTGCTCTCCCAAGATGGAGTGTTCACGGGGTTAGGGATGGGGTGCCGGGGTGCCCTGGATGTTGAGGGTTCTACCTTCATCCTTTCTCTCCTTTTCCTCTCCTGACACCCCTTTCTCACGCTCTCCTCTCCTATAATTCCCTAATTTCTCTCCTTTCCCCTCCCTTTGCAGATACTTATCCGTAACCCGATTTCCTCTATTTCTGCTTTTCTCAGGGCCTCTTCATCTGTTGTCACTTCCCTTGAAGTTGGTTAGGAGAACGTGTCGCCCTAGAGGGGGGTGGGTCGCGAAGTCTGCCACTGTGTTCTGGATCTGGCATCGATGCCCCCACCTGGCCCTGGGTCTCTTCCAGGGCCATCTCCCCCGCTGGGTTTCTGCCAAAATCAGCCGTCTTCCTTTCCCACCCCTCTCCCAGTCTCCCCCACCCCCACCCTTATGCTGATTATGTACACAAATGCCTACTCTCCCTACAACCGGACAGCACCCACTTTTACCAAACCCACCTCTGTTCCCCAACCCCTCCTCTCCGCTTTCCGGTCCTGCCTCCCAGGCTGCTGAGTTCTGACCCTGACCAGAAGCTGGTCATGGCTTCCTCCGGCTGGAACGCCTCACTCCCACACATCTGTGGACAGCTTGCCTTTCACACCGCACTGCTCGCCCCTCTGGACCTCCCATCCCAGCTCTGGCCCCATCAACTTCCCTCTTCCCTTCCTTTATCTCTGGAATACCCCAGACTCAAATCTTGACTCTTCCATTTACTAATGATGACACCTCGGGCCAATAATCTTGCTTCAATTTATACATCTGTGAAATGGCAAGCATTATAAGGGAGCTCTGTAAGAATTAAATGGCATGAGCATGTGGTGCACAGGACCAATGCTTGACTCCAGAGAGGCACTTGGTAAATGTTACTGTCTCTGCTTCTGCTTTTTGCCCATATGGGAAATTTGGGAATCCTCAAATCTTCACTCTCTCTCATCCTCCATCCACATCCAGTCAGTCACGAGGTCTTGTTGTTACGTACTTCTGAAGTCTAGTTCTCTCCCTTTTTGCTGCTTTGCTGGCCAACTTCATTCTTCACAACTCAGTTCGACAGCTCCCCAGGACGTTCCTTCCACCACCACCATGCTGCTCTGTTGAGCATTCGCCTGTAGGATGGAGTTGTCTGTGCCTGCGGTCTGTCTCCCAGTCTAGTCTACATGGCCCCCACCCTGCCCCCCACCCCAGGCTGGGAGGCTGAGAGGTGTATCATGACTCCCATCAGAGCCCAGACAACATTTATCCAACAGAGCCCTAGCTCTCACGGAGAGCTTGGTCCATCTCCTCTTTCCTCTTCAGCCTACATTCATCTTCCTATCTCCATGCCCTGCAAAAACTGTTCTGTCCTCATGTTTCGCTCACTCTGTTAACTTTCCTTCTTCACTGTCAAACTTCTTGAATGTTTTAGTCTCTCGCCAACTGCTTCATTTCCCCTGAGTCAAAAAGCCTTTGCAACCTGGTTTCCACACCATCACATTAGACAAATGGCTGTAAAAGCTCTAAAACTTTCAGTATGGTATTACTACAACAGCAGCCTATGCTTATGGAGACAATAATAAGAACAACTTCACGGAGCTATTGTGAGACTGAATGAGTTATAATCCCTCCCGAATGGGCTTAGGACATTGTCTAGCACATAGCAGGTGCTTGATAAATGTTAGCTATTATTTTATAGAATTGTGCTGTCCACTATGGAAGCCACGTGGCTCTTGTGTGCTTGAAATGTAGATGGCCCAAACTGAGATATTCTGTAAATGATAAATACACACCAGATGTGAAAGGCTGAATGTTAAAAACATATAAAATATCATCAATATTTTCTATGTTGATTACACATTATAATGATAATACTGGGGTGGGCAACAGTAGGTTAATAATAATAAATAATACAAGAATAAACTCTGTATTTTGCATAGTCACAGCTGAAACCTACTTTTGCTAACCCGTGTATTTGGGATACATTGGTGTTATAAGATCATTTTTCATCTATTTCTTTTTACTTTTTAAATGTGGTTACTAGAATATTTAAAATTACATGTGTCACATACTATATTTTTATTGGACAAAGTCGTTACAGAAAATACAGGTAGTCCAATAGAGCAAGGGTGCATAAATGAATGTGGGGAAGGGAAAACAGATTTTATAGATATCAAATCCTACCACCCTCAAACAACCATCATAAATTCTTGCAGTATATCCTTCAGTTTTGTTTACCTTTCTATATATGCCTTCCTTA